TTTTTTTTTTTTTTTTTTTTTTTTTTTTTTTTTTTTTTTTTTTTTTTTTTTTTTTTTTTTTTTTTTTTTTTTTTTTTTTTTTGAGAAGATTAATGATAGCCAATGTGTGCCTCCTCCATCAGGGGCAAGCGAGGATCCACTCCCCCAGATAGTGTCTGCTATTAAGTCTTTATAATATAGTATTTAAATACTAATAAAATAGTCTATGTTATTTAAAAAAAGCAATTTTGCGATGATAAATGATAGGCATTGATAGCCTATGTGCCTATATGCCGATCAATGCCTACCATCCGTAACTGCAAAATTTTAAAATTTTCATCACGAGCACAGCGATTCGGGAAGACGGGTGATGAACTGCGGTCGCGTTTCCAATACATCATCGCATTGTTGTATTCACTGTGAGCTTCCTCGCCCAAATTTATATTATTTTTATACTAATTTATAGCTATATCTGGGGTATCTTTCAAATTTCAATACAGTCGATAATGATTGTATGACACGGCGCATGTTGTATATGGTTGAAGAAGGTAGTACGCGGCATTGCACTATCTGACGAGTATTACTATCAACGAGTATCAAGTTGTTAAACGTATTTTCTCTTCGTCCCACACATGCCCCCATCTATTCCGACCGAGGGGGCCAATTTATCTGTTTGCTTATGACTGACAAGCATGATGAGTGCAAGGAAGGAGAGCATAGAAAACATATGGCGGTTGCATAACCCGCTCCGCACGTGAGCCCTGGGGGCAGGGGAGAGTAGGGTAGGGAAGGGAAGGGGAGGGGAGGGGAGAACTTGGACCTTCCAAAACCAAGCGTCTTGAACTTCCGTTGTTTCTACCACAGGGTCGAAGAAAAAACAAAACAAAGAGAAAAAGAAAATCCGCTCAACATGGTGACCGCAGGGGAGGGGGGGGAAGGTGCGAGAGGAAGAGGAGGAGAACTCACCGTGTTTATGGAAGCCATCGCTGTGAGCACTTCTCTGTTAAATGCACCACTTTGGGCCGAAACTCCAATCAACACATTAGGCTTCAATGCCTGATAGAAAAGTCCATCCAGAAATCACACAAGCTAAGCTTAAGGCCCCTTTGACTCAGCACATACCAAAGAGGAGGAATTTACTGGGGGAAGAACCCAAGTATAGTGACATGTAGCAGGACTAGTAGGAGGAGTAGGAGTAGTAGGAGCAGGAGTAGGAGTAGGAGGAGCAACCCAAGTGCAGTGACATTCAGCAGGGGGAGGAGGGGGAGGAGGAGGAGGAGGAGGAGGAGGAGGAGAACCTAACTGTAGTGACATTCAGCAGCAGCAGCAGCAGGAGGAGGAGGAAGAGGAACTCTAAGTGTAATGAGATTCATCTTTCTGTCACCCGCTCTTGGATTTATGCGAGGATCCGGGTCCTCGGCAGGCCTAAGGGGCCCCTGTTGCATCTGCGCCCGCTGCCCGCCCTAATTGAAGGCGGGCCCAACAAATCACGAGAAGCCCTCGGCTGTCAATTTCGTATTTGGGGTCCAGGCAGTTTCGTCGCGCCAGTTGGTTGAATGAAACACAGGCCGAGCAGCGAGGAAATTCCACGGCCTTCTAGGCTTTTCCAAAAGTGCAGGCCCTGTGCGAGATTTGCAGCCTCATACACAGACAGTTGGGAGGCCCAACCGAATGAGGCCCAGTAGCTGCACCAGAGGCGCAGCATCCTGGGGCCTACCAAAAGCTTCTGGGCCCAGGCCCAGGCCAGCCAGGCTGCGAAGGCAGGCAGGCTCTTTCCATATAGGAAAGAGCTCGCTGCCTGGAGGATTCATTCAG